TAGTCCAAGGTGTATTCTTCAACTCATTCATATTTGACGTCCCCAAATTAGCTTATCAGATTGTTGGATACTTAGAGAAAGAAACAGTGAATTTGTAAACAGAGTATTTTGATTGATATAGAAAAGGGACTTTTCGAGAACTCACCAACTCCAGAAGTTAATATGGCATCTCACGTTTATAGATCGAACTATTGAATTGAGAGAAGAGAATTATTGTTTTGGCCGAACATGGAGGGATCTTCAATGGCCATCTATGGAGGTTTGTGGAAGATGGAAAATGGTCTGTTTAATAAAGAAAAGAGCATTTTTAATTGGTATGCCACATGGCACTAAAACATTGGCTTAGGGATTAATTTCCACTCTTTCACGCGCCTCTCGAATTTGAGATTGCACATGCTTTGAAAATGGGTTAAAAGGGTGTATTTATCATGGTTAAAAATAGTTTCGTGGGGTAATAGGACCCCCTCAAACTTAAGGTGTCTACTTCAAAAAAGGGTATAAGTTCGATGGGGTAATTATGTATTTTCTCTACTATTAACTCTTAACTTTAGAATTGTTAAGTAACATAATTGAAGTCCCCAAAAGATAACTATTTTCTTTATGTTGGTTTACTTTAATAAATTTTATTTCATCAACTCTTTATTCTTTACATCTTAAATATTTTTTTCAAAACTCTCATTTGTCTTTAATCAGTTTAAAATGGTTTCTTTCTTTATTAATCAAATTGGTACAAATTATTATTTTAAAACGATTCAAAAAAATGCTAATTATCTAGTTTTTGTAAAATTTTAATCACTTGCAATTTAATTCAAATGTTTCAATTTAGGTCTTTTTTTATTGAAAAAAAAGAAAAAATGTTCTTTATTTAACTATTTTCTCAAAGTTAATCGAATATTATAAATTATTACATTTTTTTTTTATGTTAAATCATTTTTCTAAAAATAGTCAAAAATATTTAATCAAGTCGTAGGATAACCGCATGCTAGCGGGCACTTCAAATGCTTTAAAAACCTTCTTGAAGTGTAAATGAGAACCTCATACCCCTTTTCTCTAAATTTTTAAAGACTTAATCTGTTAGAGTGTTTTTAAATTAACTTTTCTTAATTTTTTTTTAAAATTAAATGGTAACTCTTTTCTAAGTATTTTTGTCAAATTGTTTTACTTAGAACATTTCAAAAGGTAATATTTCTAAAGATAGTGAAATTACAGCATAGCATAACAAATAGTATATCTTATTAGATAGTTGCAGTATTTATAATTTTAATTTAATTATATATTTGTACATATATATATATATATATCAATTGGATATATAACTAAAAATTATTGACTTTTCATTTCATATAATTTTATCAACGAGGGGCAATTAAACTTCACATAATAATGTATATAATTGAATTTTTCTCTACTTAAAATAGTGCTTAACTTACATAATAATACACAATTTAATATAAAATAGTATTAAATCAAAATTAATTTCATTTACGATAATTATTTTTCTATTGGATAAAAATTAGCTATATTATTTTATTGTTTTGTATCTTCAAATAAAAAAACCAAAATAAAAATGACATCATTGGTTTTTTGTGAGTTTAAATATTAATTATATATAAGTTTATAATATTCATCTTGACATTTGTGGTAATGTTCCAACATCGTATTAGATTGATATTATTGTATAATGATTTATTTAACCTTAAAAGTAGAGTAAATATTTAACAATAAAATTATTCTAATGTGATTGACATTTTTTATTATTATTATTATAATTTTTAATTGTGGTAAATATATTTTTAAGGAAATATTCCTCGAAAACTCCAAATTTAAAATTTCTTTAGATTCCAAGAAAAAAAATTCAGTAAAATTATATTAAAAAAAATTCAAGTATACATATTTTCAAGTAAATCCCTCAAAAAATCTCCAACAAAATTCACAACAATAAAATCCCCAAGTAATTCTTCAAGTAAGAAAATTCCCAAGTAAATTCCTAAGAAATGAATCACCAAAAAAATCATGGAACATGAATCCCCAGGTATTAAATACCACATATAAAAATATTTCTAGATAAATTTCCAAATAATTATTTCTAACTAAATCTGTAAATAAGTGTATCTAGGAATTTTCTTCAAAACAAATTTTAAAAAAATTCATTACTTGCGAATTTCCATGTTATGGTTTTGTTGTGGCAAAGAATATTATGAAGGAAATTAAATAGCATCTTAGAAAAAATTTATCATATTAAAGTTTAAGAAAAAGTTGATCCTATATGCTATAAAGTCATCTGAAAATCTTTTTATATCTTGCCAATGCCTTGGGTTTATTGACTCCAATATTGTTTAGTTTATTAGGGATAAATTTATGTTGGCATGCTATATGTATCAAACGATAGCTTTAATACATGATACTTTTTTTAATCGTTTGATTAAACCAGTCCATAATATCTTATTTTGGTTAAAATTACTCTATGATGAAAAATATGGATACGCAAGACGGCAAGATTTTGATATTTAGTAGACTAACTATAGTCAAATTAACCCACAATCAATTTGTATATGGCTTACGAGCGGATAGAGCTTTGAGTTATCAAATTCATCTGAATTCAAATATTTCTAACGTAAAGTATAAAATTATGTGTTAAATTAGCTAAAAGTATAATAGATACCATAGATATAAACTTTACAAATATAATGAGTTCAAGACTAAAAAATCAAAGGTTATACTCATAAATTAAAATTATGTAATCTATCTTATAAAAGAATTATTGTTTTCATTGTTGAATGATGGACTACCCATATCTTTCCGCTTTTCTTTTTGATACTAAAGATATTTTATATGGGCTGATCTGATCCGACTTTAGTTAACATATGAATTTGATATTTTAGGAAGTATAATGAGCTCTTCTTTTTTTTCTTTTCTACTTTCTTGTTTGATTGTGTCTTTCATTTGTAAATTTACGAGTTTGTTAGTAGTGTAAAAATATTACGTACACACTTCAAATACGATCAAATTTCACAAATGTAAGAGCCTCATTGTTTTTCATGTATTTTCTTGAATGCTTTTACCTTTGAAGATTATGGTGTGTGTGTGGTGGGGGCGGGGGGGGAGGGGGGCTCTGCCGTAAGTGGCTAATTTATGACGTGGGTAGTTGATTACAAAGTCATAGAGAGTAGATTTTAAGTCCTTTCCTAATAACCAAACTTTTAAATCAAATTACTTTAAACAATGTTTTACGAAAAACGTTTTTTCAAAAAATGATATTAGTAGCTAAGTATCCATGAAGAATTTATCCATTACAGATAGAGGCGTATCTAGGATTTTGAGATGATGGATGCATTGTTAAAAAAATATGAATCTATGATATGAATTTGATCGGTTCGACATTTAGGTTTTTACTACTGAAAACCGTTAAAATTTTAAAATTATAGGTCTAAGTGTTATCTAATTTTAGAAAGAAAAATAAAACAAGATAAATATAAAATTCAAATTTCTAATATGGCGGAGATAGGTGCACCCAGTCATAATCGCATTATGTGATACTTCAAGTGTGGGTTCACACATTTATATTTCAATATTTTTTAAAAAATATAACACTACTATATTTAATCTCGGGAGGGGACTATGGGTTCACGTGAACCCGGTGACTAGTGGTGGAGCCAGAATTTTTAATAAGGGAGTTCAAAATCTGAGAAGTAAACACTCGAACTAGTGAAAAGGGGTTCAACATCTATTATACATACCTAAAAAAATAATTTTAACATGGTATAAATAGTAATATTTTCCGCCGAAGGGGTTCAGATGAACCCCTAAGTATATGCTGCCTCCGCCCCTGCCGGTGACCCCCCTTAGATACGCCTCTGATTTGAGGATATACTTGAGTAAAATGGAGTAGACTCCTTATAATAAAAAAGTAATAAAATATATTAAGAGATATATTAAAAATATCTTATAATTTGATGCAAATTATTAGTTCCATCTCCAAACTATTGATAATGTTAAAAACATTCTTTTACTTGACTAACTAAGTTTAGATACACCCCGATCGCCCCATCTTCCACATGACATATCAAAATATTTCAAACTCTTATAAGGACAGTTTTCTCTTAATAAAAAAACTAAGAAAAGTGTTGAAAATACTCTAAACTGACAGAAAATTTTGAGGTATATTTCAGTGATGTCGAATATATTTCAATACTTTTCTCCATTAAAAAAATAAAATGATGGCATGTTTTATGGGTACCTAGGATTCCCACATTGTAACAAAAAACTGCAGGGGCCTAAACCCTTTCGTGTCAACCCTTAACCTCAACAGCTCACAAGCAAAACAGCATCACTCTGCATTCCTTTTTAACAAAATTTACCTGAAGGAAATTTGTTGGTGTTTTTTATTAAAAAAAAACAACTCTAATTGTTCACTACAGTTATACATTTATATTGAAACCTTCAATTTTATTTAAAATAACTTATAATCGATTTGATACAGATCGATTAGTTCGTTCAATGATTTTTAACCCATTCTTGATAAATATTTGATGTGGGTAAGTTTTTACCCTCATTACCCCGACTTCTTTATTTTCTTTTCTTGTCTTTCATTGTGTCCAACTGCCAATGGCTTTATCATAACCTACCATGTAGTAATGTACAATGCACACATACAATATTGAACAAGAAATTAAAATTTATTAATGTAGAGAGACAAATGTAACTGTTGGAGAAAAAGTACAGAGAAATCTGGAAATAATAAAAAAGAGAAGGAAAACTGCGACTGCATTTAATTTCAGATTAATTGGAAGTACTAAAATAACAAAATATGCCCACATGATATATAGGCCAAGAGATAAACAACTAATCCTAAAATATAGGTCATGTAACCCACTATGACACTTAATCAGCAACACCAATGAAACTTGAGTAAATATAGGAAACTACTTAACAAAGACCCAAAGACTAGTTCTACAGTTCTACTAAACTACCCATGTCCCAATTCAGTCAAACATTTTGAATCACTCTTTAACATTCCCTCTTGATTCAAAAGTACAGACACCAAAGAATCCTCTGAAATAGCAGAATTTCTCCTTCGATAAAGCCTTTGTCAATACGTCAGCCAACTGCTCTTGTGTGCTGCAATATTCCAATAATATTTCCTCCTTTGCTACCAAATCACAAATAAAATGATAACGAATATCGATATGCTTTGTCCTGCTGTGGAATGTTGGGTTCTTTGTCATGGAGATAGTTGCTTTATTGTTGCAAAATATCTTTGTTGCTCCTCTCTACTCCTGTTGAAGATCAGCTAACACTCTCCTTAGCCAAACGACTTGACAAGCTGCTGAAGTTGCTACAATGTACTCAGCTTCTGAAGGTAGACAATGATGTTGTAGCTTGCTTCTTTGAACTCCAAGTCACCACACCTGAACCTAGAGTGAAAACATTCGCCGAAACACTCCGTTTATCGTCCAATGAACTTGCCCAATCACTATCTGTGTACCCGCACAATCTGAAATTATCAGTTTTGGAGTACCAAATATCAAAGTCCAAAGTTCCAGCAATGTACCGCAAAACTCTCTTTGCTGCCCCATAGTGTACTTTTGAAGGTTGTTGCATAAACCTAGAAATAACACCAACATGATATGCAATATCGGGTCTAGTATGCGTCAAATATATCAGAATTCTGAACCTCCTTGCATCTGTTAATTCTTCTTCATTTACCTGCTGCAATTTCTCACTGATATTCATTGGAGTAGCCGCATGCTTGCAATTAAGCATGCCAAATTTATTGAGTAGGTCTCTAGCATATTTCCTTTGTGAAAGAAATATTCCCTCTTCAGTTTGATGGACTTGAAGGCCAAGAAAGTAATGTAATAAACCCATATCTGACATCTCAAACTCATTCATCATTTGAGACTTAACTCTTCCAGAAGAGAACGTGAAGAACTAGTGTAAATGATATCATCAACATAAAGGCATACAATAATGAAATCATTACCTTCCTTCTTCACATATAAGGTGGGTTCATTCTCACTTCTTATGTATCCATTTTTTGTGGAAGTATCCATCAATCTTGCTATACCACGCTCGAGAGGCTTGCCTCAAGCCATACAACACCTTTTCAGCTTGTACACCTTTGTTTCATCGCCTTCCTTTGCGAAACCTTCAGGTTGTGTGGCATAGACTTCTTCTTGTAAGTCTCCATTGAGGAATGCCGACTTGACATCAAATTAATAAATTGTCCATTGCAATTGTGCAACCAATGCTAGAACAAACCTCACTGTCTCAAATCGAGCTACTGGAGAAAACGTTTCTTCAAAATCAACACCATATTGTTTTGCATACCCTTTTGCCACAAGACGAGCTTTGTGCTTTTGTAGGCTACCATCAGCTTCAAACTTTGTTTTGAACACCCACTTCAATCCAATTGCATTTTTTCCGTTTGGTAACTCCATCATTTCCCATGTTCCATTCTTTTCGATGTCTTCCACCATTGCTTTCTTCCATTCTTCTTTTTCAGCAACTTCTTCATAATTCATGGGATCTGAAACAATAAGAGCAAATTGACAAGACGTATAAAGGTTATTATCATACTTGGGATTTGAATTTTTATGCCTTGTTGATCTTCTTAATGGAATAATATCATCTGAAGACTCTTCATAAGTTGCTGCAATTGGCGAGCTTTGTGACACCACAAAAGAACCTGAAAGTGTACTTGAAGGGGTTGACTATTTTCCTTCATCATCAGTGATTCCAAGAGGCATAAGAGTCTCTTGTCGCACCAGTTTTTCACTCCAATCCCAACTTGAATTTTCATCAAATATTACATCTCTTCTAATTGAGATCTTGCCATTAAAAGGATTATACAATCTATATGCTTTGGAGTGAGTACAATAGCCAACAAAAATGCATTTTTTAGATTTTTCATCAAGCTTTTGACGAGCTTGTGAACTTACCAAAGCATAAGCAACACACCCAAAAACCCGTAAATGACTTACATTTGGTTTCCTACAATGCCAAGCTTCATAAGGAGTTTTATTCATAACAACTTTTGTTGGTGAAAGATTCAGCAAGTAAACAGATGCTGCCACAGCTTCTGCCCAGAACTGATTTGCGAGTTCCTTTGCTTGCAACATGCTCCTTGCCATCTCCACCACAGTCCGGTTCTTCCGTTCAACGATACCATTTTGCTCTGGGGTATAGGAAGTTGTTAACTCCCTATGGATGCCATTTTTTTCACAAAACAAATTGAATTCGTTGGACACGAACTCTCCTCCTCTATCGGTGCGAAGAACAGTAATACTGCAATTACTTTGGTTCTCTACCAAAGCTTTAAACACCTGAAACTTTTCAAAAGTTTCTGACTTTTTTTCCAGAAAATACACCCAACTTATGCGACTATAATCGTCAATAAACAACAAGAAATAACGACTTCCACCTAAGGACTTAGTCTGCATAGGACCACATAAGTTCGCATGTATTAATTCTAAACATTTAGAAGCTCTCCATGCCTTTCCAACAGGAAAAGATTTCTTGGTTTGTTTCCCATAAATGCACCCTTCACATAAATCAAGAGAACTAATTTTTGGTAGTCCAAGAACCATACCTTTATCACTTAGCAATTTGAGGTCGTTTATGTTGAGATGACCGTACCTCAAATGCCACAACTTTGAGTCATCCTTTGCACTTGCAGCAAGGGCAAAAATTTCCATATCAGAAACATCGAACGGAAACATCTTATTTGGCGTCATAGTGATATGAACCTTTTTGCCAGACTTCTTACTTGTAATGACACAAGCATCATCATCAAACCAAATAGAATATCCATTGGTCATTAGTTGCCCAACACTCAACAAAATATATCCTAAATCGGGTACAAATTGAACATTATCTATCATGTTTACTTTGTCTTGATTAGTGTCAATGCTCACCATGCCTTTTTCTTCAACCAGTAACTCTTTTGTATTGCCAAGCTGCACCTTTTTCTTTTGCTTCTCATCAAGCTCATGGAACAAAGATCTAACACTTGTCATATGATTTGAACAACCACTGTCTACAAACCATAGACCACTTGGCTTATGGTCTGTATTAGTGCAAGCCATAAAATTATAATTCTCTTCCTCGTTTTCTGTTGTTGCAAAATTTATTTTCTGATCTTTATACCAACAATCAACCCTTATATGTCCGTAACACTGACAGTGATGACATTGAATGCCATTTTTTGTGTTACCTTGCTCATTGGATTGCCTGTGTCCATCATTTCTTCCTATGCCCCTTCCATAACCACGACCTCGACCACCGCAAAAGCCTCGTCTCCCTCGACCTCTGCTTGCTGGACCATTATTTTCTCCATATTTGGTGGCTGAATCTTTAACTTGGAATGCCTTCTCTTCATTCTTTTCTGTGGATCGATTAATTCTCCCCTCATGAGGTTGAAGAGATCCCATCAGTTCATCAAAGGAAAAGATGGATAGATCCTTGGATTCTTCTATCCCAGCAACTACGTGATCAAATTTTGGAGTTAGGCTTCGCAATACCTTTTCCACAATGGTCTGATCATTTACCTTCTCTCCGTAGGATCGCATTTGACCGACAATTGTCGTTGTTCTTGACGAAAAACCAGCAATGGATTCTCCACTTTTCATCATCAAAGTTTCAAAATCATGCCGAAGTGATTGCAGTCTCACTACAATGACCTTTGAATCTCCTTGAAACTCTCTCTGGAGAATCGTCCAGGCTTGTTTGGATGTGGTTGCTGTTGCTATCCGTGAAAAGAGACTATCATGAATAGCCTGCTGAATAAAAACCAGCGCTTTAGCATCTTTTTGCTTGTTGCTTCACAATTTGTTTCCTTCGTCGGGATCTGCAAATCCACATTCTACCAAGTCCCAAAGATCTTGAGATTTGAGTATAGTTTTCATATGGATACTCCAGAATTCACAGCTTTCTCCCTTGAAGACATGAATGAGTGGTTGTGCCACACTCAATGCACTATTGCTACTTGCCATGGCTGGCTCTGATGCCAAATTTGTTGGAGAAAAAGTACAGAGAAATCTGGAAATAATAAAAAAGAGAAGGAAAACTGCGACTATGTTTAATTTCAGATTAATTGGAAGTGCTAAAATAACAAATATGCCCACATGATATATAGGCTAAGAGATAAACAACTAATCCTAAAATATAGGTCTTGTAACCCACTATGACACTTAATCAGCAACACTAATGAAACTTGAGTAAATATAGGAAACTACTTAACAAAGACCCAAAGACTAGTTCTACTAAACTACCCATGTCCCAATTCAGTCAATCATTTTGAATCACTCTTTAACAATAACAACCTAATTCATCTATAGATTTTTCTTGGATTATTTTGCCTTTAAAGATTTGAAAAGGTTAAAGTATGGGAAAGTGAAAGGCTTTGAGCAAACTATTGAAAGGTACCAAAAAATTGATCCTATATGCTATAAAATCATCTAAAAATCTTTTTATATCTTGTAAAACAATATAATCAACAATGCCTTGGGTTTATTGACTCCAATATTGTTTAGTTTATTAGGGATAAATTTCTGTTGGCATGCTATATGTATCAAACGATAGCTTTAATACATGATACTTTTATTTTTAATCTTTTGATCGAAATCAGTCCATAATATCTTATTTTAATTAAAAACTACTCTATGGTGAAAATATGGATACGCAAGACGGCAAGATTTTGATATTTTAGTAGACTAACTATAGTCAAACTAACCCACAAGCAATTTGTATATGGCTTACGAGCGGATAGAGCTTTGAGTTATCAAATTCATTTGAATTCAAATATTTTTAACGTAAAGTATAAAATTATGTGTAAAATTAGCTAAAAGTATAATACAAATATAATGAGTTCAAGACTAAAAAATCAAAGGTTATACTCATAAAATTTGAACTATGTAATCTATCTTATAAAAGAATTATTGTTCATTGTCGAATGATGACTATTCTTACTATTCTCTGATATCTTTCCGCTTTTCTTTTTGATACTAAAGAAATTTCATATGGGCTGATCTGATCCGACTTTAGTTAACGTAATTTGATATTTTAGGAAGTATAATGAGCTCTTTTTTTTTTCTTTTCTGCGTTCTTGTTTAATGGTGTCTTTCATTTGTAAATTTACGAGTTTGTTAGTAGTGTAAAAATATTACGTACACACTTCAAATACGATCAAATTTCACAAACGTAAGAGCCTCATGTTTTTCATGTATTTTCTTGAATGCTTTTACCTTTGAA